TGTGTGTGTGTGTGTGTGTACTACACGAGCGGAGAATAGGAGATTGGGAAGAACAAAGACCTCCACAGTCTGAGAGTGTTGCATCTTTTCTTCTACCCTTCAAAAGCTACATCCCTTCTTCTCCATTTCCCAGTCTCTCATTGCTTCCCCTCCACATCTCATTGTAGTTGTGTAGATTAGAGGGGAGCTGGTTACATAGGGGACATCATGACTCTACATCTCAAATACAACAAGCATGCCTCATTACCTCAGCCTCACTCTCTGGTTTGAATTACTGCGCACTGGCCTTATCCAGACAGCATCAACGTAGAGCATACATCCAACACTTCTCTTTTCAAATTGTGGGAGCAGAGAGCACGTTCCCACCGAGATTCAACATTCTGCTGTCTCCTCTCACAGATTCCTCCTATACAAATTTGGCTTGATACAGTATGTATCACTCCTCTCTCCCTCCTTCTCTGCACTGCTGGACCTAATTCCTGAGGAGAGCAATTTTGCTCTCACTCAAAATTCCAGATCCAAGCGCCAATCTTTGGATTTTATGGCTTTCATGGGGATAAGGCACAGTGTGTGGAATAAAGCTCTGGGAGGAATTTTGTTGGTGAGGAAGAAGAAGGGCGAGGGCTCTGAGGCAGTTCAAATGTCTTTTGCAGATACTCTCTGTCTCTCTCGGGTTCTCTCTCTCTGTCTCTCTGTACCTAGAAACGCAGAGACACTCTGCCAGGCTTTTGACTTTGGGCTACACAGATCTTGACATTGGCTTGATGTCGGCGTGATCTTAAATCCTTGGAGAGGAGCGCAGTGGCAATCCCTGCCAATGAGCATTAAGTTTTCATTAGCAATGCTCAACCTGCCGCAACTCCAGCTGCCCCCTGGCAACCCATCCCAAGGCTTTTATTATTGTTTTTGAACTACAGGCCAACAGCAAACCAAGTACGGAAGCTATACACTGTGTGTGTGTATGTGTGCAACCATGTACTGTATATAAATATATATATATATATGTGTGTGTGTGTGTGTGTGTGTGTGTGTGTGTGTGTAAATGTGTCTGTCATCTCTGCTTTATATACCAGTGGTTAATGCCTATTGCTCCCTGATGAACNAATTAGCGATTCACTGTTAGTGCTGGTGACTTAAGCTGTGGTAGTTGGCAAGACTTTACATTTTATAAAGTAAACCACATACAACGTAGGGAAAGGCTAAGTTGCAAATAAAAAGATAATGCATTTTAAGAATCAGTGTAATAACCACATTTTTAACCATGGGTCATTGATTACGTACAAATGGTATATAATCTGCACACACACTCTCTCCTCAGACGTTCGGAGGAAAATGAGTCCACTCACTCTGCGTGTTGGTGCTGTCCAGTTTGGCCTTCAGCAGCATCCTGAGCCGAGACACCTCCTGCCGCTTCAGCTCATCCAGTCGAGTTCTGACATGGTGACTGACCAGGTCCAGCTCTTTACTGAGGCGGCCATTCTGGCGGAGAACACAACACACCCGGGAGAGAGCAAATCAAATGTCAGATCATTTTGGCGCCTGTAAAGGTGAACGAGGGCAGCTTTGTGGGTGAGGAGGAGAAGAGAGAGAAATATTAAGAGATGGATGCTAACCTTGATGTCCTCCGTGTTCGCTGTCTGCAGTTTCTCTCTGAAGTGAGGGTCAGTCTCCAAAACCTCGATCACCTCCCTGAGATACCTGTCGTAGTACAGGCCAGTATCCTGCAACAGTGTGTTGTAATGGAAGGATTACTTTAATGCCAAACTGATTCTCAGCTCAAACTCATTTGTGAAACGGTGAAAGAAAACAAGAAAGGGGCATTTACAGCATTCTCCTCCTGTGCTTCTTCTTTAAGTTCTTGGTTGCCTCCATTGCGGTCAATAGGCACTGACCAGACCCCGGCAGCGATGGAGAGAAGCAGCAGCCAGCCAGTTTTCAAGTTCATCCTCCTTTAAATCAAATAATAACAACAGCTGTGTGAGTGATAAAAACTGGACAAGATGAATCTCTGGTAGGGCGTCAGTTCACCTGCATGACAGAGGATGAGATTTTCTTTTTGTGTGTCTGTGTTTTCCTCACTCACTACCAGGGTTAAGGGCAGAGGATGTAGTAGCTTGTACAGACTTAAACCCTAAAAGGCAACAATTGTGATTTGTGAATATAGGCTTTACAAATAATAATGATGTGATAAAGCATTTACTGAAACATATTGTATGCAGGTAAGAAAAAAATCATCCTCCATCCATCCATTGTCTATACTGCTTATCCCAGGGTCATGGAAGGTCACGCTCATATTCACACAAATGGTCAATTTAGACTTTCTGATCATTCTAATGACAAACTACAGGTGTTTGGACTGTGGGAGGAAGACGGAAAATACACACAAACACAAGGAGAAAATAAAGACTCCACACAGAAAGGCCACGGCCAAACAGGGATTTGAACTGGAAACCTTCCTGCTTTGATGCAGTGCAAACCACTGAACTGTGCCGCCCCAAAGATTTCATTCGGAAAGATTATAAATGTTC